TAACCTATTAGTCGTAATTCTGTACAGACAGTACTGCACCATTTAATTGATGCAACCAACTAGAAATATTTCGACATAGAACTGACACGAGGCTATTTTCTTATCACATTTATTTTGCGTCTCATTATTGGGGAATTTGCGCAAATTATGTATATTTTCTAAACGCTTAGAATTTTCTACATACGTAATATTTAATTACGAGTATTATATGGAATATGAGAATTACATTTTCTACCGATTACACGTAACATGGTATGTATCTGTTTTCTAAATTTATATCAGGCGCACATGATTTTGCTATCAATTAATGAATTGTCGTTCTTGAATATTGATATAAGATATCAGGACTTTTGTTTTATCAAAATTTATCAAACTTAAATTCATTAATGCGTATACAGTGATAAATAATAAAACTAAATGACGATTACGATTTATATAACGATGATATTTATGATTGTATAATTTTATAATATCTATGTTAATTTTGAATACATTTCAAAGCGATTTTACTTAATAGCATAACGTTATAGATACAAATAAAATTCCCGTATTTTAGAACTATAATTTGAAATTTGAAATCAAACATTTTCGTGCAACGAGTCCGATGTTTTGTTCGAAGCACGTGATATAGGTGAACCAATCACATGATTTAGCTAGAGATATCGATGCTGTATTCGAGTTCATAAGATTAAAAATTGCCTATACACGTAATGCATATAGAGTACTATAAATGTTTTGTCGATATGAACTTGCATAATATATTTTTATTGTATTAAACAACGCTGATATCTTTCATTATATCTCTGAAGAGTTTTTTACTTGTTTTTCATAGATACTTTTGACTTTATATTATAAACGAAGGATATAATAAATATTGAACGTGATTGGATGTTAATATTTTTGCGTGAGCGAAAATTTATATATTTTTCAGATTGTATTGTTATATTGTAGACTATGATGTACTGTCGTTTTTAGTACTCTAAAACAATAAATCTTTTAGTTCTTTTATTTCTTTGTAATGTTTAGTAACTTGATATTTATGAACATATGGGTATCATTATTTTAGAAGTACATTTAAAATCTTTTTATTTCAGTCAGTGAAAGAAATAATATAGTGTGAATAGAGATGAAGTTGATATGGGGTTAATGCTGCATAATATTTTTTTGTGTACATGCCCTTCTTGCAACAATAACAATGTTATATTAGAAAGATGACAATATCTGTATTAAAAACAATTATAATATAAATATATATATGCTGAAAAGTAATTTATCTTTTTTCATTTCTTTTTAACATTTTTCACATGTACATCTAAATTAAATTATTCTATATTTCCAGGAATTTAAAAAGCAGCATTAGTCATGTCTCTACTGGAAGAAACTCAGATTTCAACAATGAGAGTTGAACCAATAGATAATTTATATCTTGCTCTGATACAGTGTTTTGCTATTATATTATGCGGGTGAATTTTTTGTAACTATGTAATCTTTAAATTTTTATCATATGAATTTTAAGATGTATATAAATAAAGTGCTTGTTTTTTTAGATATATTGCAGGAAGATTTGACGTTATCACTAAAATAGAAGGAAATGGGCTAAATACTTTTGTAGGAACGTTTGCTCTACCTTCTTTAATTTTTATGTCACTGGCAAAGCTTGATTTTAGTCTAGTAAACTGGAAATTCCTTCTTGCTGTATTGATAGCTAAAAGTTGTGTATTTCTTGTTGTTCTTGGTATATCTCTTGTTATTAAAAGACCATCAAATCCAGGTTGTGCTGCACTTTTTGCAATATTTACCACTCAGAGTAATGATTTTGCTATTGGATATCCTATGAGTAAGTAAATTAAAAATCATTCTTAATATAGTTTAAAGTAATCTATATACCAAAAATAACATATTTTTATAGTTCAAGCACTATATGAAGAAACACATCCTGAATATGCTGCTTATTTATACTTAATGGCACCTATATCATTGGCTATTTTAAATCCAATTGGTTTTGTATTATTAGAAATTGGTAAACGTTCTGGTGAAAATCATAGAAATTATAGAGACATGGTTTGTTCTATTGTAAAAGGAATTGCACTAAATCCAGTACTTGTTATGACTGTTCTTGGTATTCTTGGTAATCTTGTCTTTGGTCATTTAGTACCTGCTATATTAGCAACTGTGCTCGATGTATTTGGTAATGCTTTTTCTGCAAGTGCTCTTTTGTTGTTGGGATTAATGATGGTTGGAAAAGTACACAAATTGAAGGGCACAGCTCTTGTAATACCCGGTATATTGATATCAGTAAAATTGTTGGTACTTCCTTTGGTCATAAGAGAATCTATTATTCTCTTAAATGCTGGCGAGAATGCTACAGATACTCAAGATCTAAGTACTTATGGATTCCTGTATGGAACTATTCCTACAGCACCAGCCTTATTTATTTTCACTCTTCGATATAATATCGAAATTGATTTAATTGCATCAGCAATGGTTGCTTGTACTTTCTTATCTGCTCCACTAATGTTTGTATCAGCAAAGTTAATCGATGCTGTTTCTACTGGAGTTAGTCCAAAAAATTATGCATACCAACTGAATATATTTTCTTTTGATGTAAGCATTGCTTCAATAACAGTTTGCACATGGTTAATTATTTGTCTAATTGGATTAAGAAGAAAAAAATATAAATGCGTCACTCATAAATGTACACTTTGTATAGTAATTGCACAGGTTTGTATTAAATTGTATTAACTTAGAATTTATGCCAGTTATAGTTGAAATTTATACAAAAATTATGATTTTAGCTAGTTACAGCTATAGGTGTTATAATATGGACCAAACTCGAACCTGATAATACTGGTTCAATTTTATGGTAATTTATTCCACTATTTACTTTGATTTTTTTTAATTTAATTCTTGTGTTATTTTGACCATGATCTATTATAGGTATATCCAGTTTATTTTAATTACTGTGGGAGTATATGCAAGTCGTATGTGGACTGTAGCAATAGCTGCAACTTTATTATACTTAAGTTCCCGTTCTCTGGATTTTGTTTGCAATATTCAAAGATGGTTTTACCCTATTGGATGGGGGTATGATGAATACTTCTTTTTTTATATATAATATCGAAAAGAAAGAAAATGACTAATAATATACTCATATATCATATCGATAATATATTTCAGAATTCCACTTTTAATAGCAATTATAATGTGTAGCACTATGTCTCCAAGGGAGTCTGAACTTGAGTTCAGAAATCCAAATTTTCAACTTGGTACAGTTCAAGCTGCAATTTCTACTTCTATATTAACATTCTGTTTTATTGGTAGGTATGTAATATACAATGCATGAAATAAAACACAATATTCTTTATTATTTAAAACAATAATATTCTTTATTATTGCATCCTTTTTACAGTAACAATGGGCTGTTTAGTCTTACAGCAGAGCTACCAGCGTCGTAACATTTCAGCATCTTATTCTAATTTAACGAATAATACCGAAAATTCCAATAATGACACTAATAATGACGAAAGACGCGTAGTAGATGTTGAAGATCTGATTTCTTCAAATTCTCATCCTCCAATGTAAGTAAATTGTATAAAAAATAAAGCTAGTAAAATCTTGTTTTAATTAATATTTTGATATTGTTAGCATCGGCTGTGAATATACACATGGTTGTCCAAATGGTACATGTAGCAGCAACAATAACGAAATTGATGATTGCGAATTATATATAAACATTGAAAATGAAAGAAACGATCCTCAGTTTTTACGACATCTTGTATTTGTTATTTTACTTCTATGTTCCATGTTCATTGTAAGTATATGACAGAATACTTGAAAATTATTACAAGATTATAATTTACTATAATTATTTTAGGGTTTATCCATATCAATCGGAACATTATTAATGGAACAGTTGACTGGAATTTATGCAGAATTAGCATTTTTGGATGTTGCCTTAAATTTTGGCCAGTCATTAATCGTATTTGCTATTTTTGGATTAGATACTGGTCTTGGTAAATTAGGATGTTGGCTGCAGAAAATGTGTCGTAAATGGCGTACTGGTATTGCTATATTCTTATATTCATTTTATTATATTTTTACATTTAACAAGTTCCATAATTCAAATGCACACTATATTTTGCATTTATAGAGAAAGAACTGCAGCTTCCCCCTGAAGATACATTAAGTCCCGAAGTGAGAGCTATTAGGGATCAGTTTAATCGTTGCCATTTGGCTGAATGTCGTGCTCGTATAGCTATATGTCGTAGACGCTTATTAAAGATGTATAAAGGTGTCTTTACTGGAACTGATTTAGTTAATTGGTTGCTTGAAGCAAATGTTGCACAAACTAGAGAAGAAGCTGTTCAATACGGTCGTAGCTTATTAGAAAGTAGGGTTTTGCAACATATCGACGGCACTTATCATTTTTGTGATCAAAATTTACTTTATACTTTTAATGGTTAATTGTAATATCTGTCTCATCAAAAGACTCAAGGATCAAGTCTCATAAAAAGACTTCTTTTGCAGTTCTGATTAAATATATTATTGAATATTAATTTTTTTTTAATTGGAATATCTTTGTAAATTGTATTTATTTAATGTATTATTTAAAATATTTCGATATTTACTTGAACTTATATGTAAAACTTTTTTATTTTATCAAATTATGAAATTATTGTCTGGAATTTATTGTACAGAACTTTGTATGTGGCTATGTTTCCTTTGTTATCTAGTTACGAATCTCATATATATGTTTCATTGTTTAATCAAAATGCTGCAAAACAAAGTAATACAATAACAATATGGTAATTAATTGAATTAAATGCCAAAGATGAATAGTAATATTTAATATCCTATTTTTAAATATTAGTATTGTATGCAGTATTGACTTTTTAACGTGAAACAATACTTTAGAATATCTGTATTTTTTTACAGGATTGTTATGAGGTTTATTGTTAATAATTTAAAAAACCGCTACGTTAATAAACAATTTTATTATATCAACAAAATATTATATATTATGCAATATAAACTGTAACAAAGTGTAAAATGAATGTAAAATAAATATCTTTGCTTGGAACATTACCATTATCTTTTCTAATGTAATATTTTATACATGAGTTAGAAACATAAATCATCATCTGGATCTTCCTCATCAAAATCATCTATATCCTCTGGATGATAGTGAATTCTAGATGTATTTGTTGTATTTGTATTAGCCGTGTATGGTAACACTACTTCTTTTCTCTGTTTCATTTCATTTTCATTTATTTCTATTCTGAATGAAGACTCAATTTTTAATTTAGGGTTTTCATATACTGGATGTGACTTTTTACTTTGTTCAAGCTTCTTTGACTCAATTTCATAAGATGTACTATTTTGGCTTACTATTTCCTGTTGTTTTAAAATTCCTCCACCCACTTTGCGATGCATAAACTCTACTATATAATTAGTATTGTTATTTGCTATCATACTAGAAAATTTTTGTATCTTTACATATGTACTTCCTAATGTTTCAATGTAAGGTACTTTATCTTGTACAAAATCTCGTCTATAAATACAAATCACTTGTCGCACATCTTTGCTTAACTTCTGTAAAAACCACATAGCCCTTGATAGGCCAACAAATAAGATTAATGATGTCAAGCAATCAATGACTACTGTAGATTTTGTGTCTATAGTTTTTAAGATATGTTTTAGATTATAAAAATCCTTATCACTTATAGCACTTATATCAAGTCCATTATTAACATTAACTGTATAATAATCAAAGATATTTACATTATTTGATGCAAAATATTCACATTGGTATGAAGATTTTGGATTGGAGAATAACAGCAAATTGAAAATACAATTAGGATCTTTTTCTTTCAATACTTGTATCCATCCTGTGACCAATTTTCTAGCATACATCGCATTCACTCCTGAAATATATATATATGTATATATACATGTACAATATCTGTTTAACTACAGTTATATGAACTCCATGTAAACAAATCAAATAGAACAGTTCATACGATAGGAGTTTACGTATATTATGTATATTAATCTAATACTAATTGTAATTTCATTCAATAAATGGAATTCTACTGCACATCTAAAATAAACTATAGTTTTATGAAGTATTTTGCTTACGTACCTTCATCAAGGACGATTAATTTTGTGCCCTCTAATAAAGGTAATGTTTTTATAGATGTCATTGTGTTAATTGCACCTATTAGGTTATAAATAGAATCATTTAGCAAATAAACAATAATCACGCAGTAGACACGCGTGCGTCACATTATAAAGTACGACAAATAATTCCAATCCAAAATACTATTCAAAGTCTAATTTTATTGAAATTCACTGTTTGTTTAATTCAAGACATTCATCATATTTAAGTAAATCTCAAATCACGCTTTTATAACCTCGAAGCAATTTAATGTTTTGTTTCCTACTTCTTATTCATATCGCGTAGGAATTGTATGTGCAGGAACTGTGTGTTAACATAGAAGAACACATGTACCTTGAAATTTGAACATGTAATCCGGTAAATATTATCTGGAAATTATCTTGAACGAGATCAGAAAATTGGTTGTCGAGGCGACGATTGACAGATGTCGCTGTTATTGGCACCGAAAAGGGTGCGGTACACGCTAATCGCCATACTGGGCGAACGTGACCGAAGACAGAGCGAAAATGAATACTAGAGTGTGTGTCAGATCGAAGCTATTTTGCTCATAACAGAGGTTTTATTTTGACAGTGTGATTCACGAATGGCCCTCGCGATGTACCGATACACTGGCTAAGTCCTAAGGGAAACCGAAAAGCGTCGATCCGTGCGCGTGGCTGCGTAAGATCAGAAATATCGTAGCTTTCCTTGCAACTCGGGTTGTCGCGCTGCATGTGTCATTGTGAGTGCTAAAGGTGTATTACAGCACCGAGAGGCTCTGTTCTCTCCTGTAACATTTAGGTGCGTATCATCGACAGTGCACATAAGCGGCGGAACAGATGCGATATTGAGGTAAATCCTTGGAATTACCACCGATGAATTTGGCCGCGTTGTGCTCTGTTCGGTGCTGCTCCTTCAACTAATCGCGTGTGTGATGCCCGGGAGTCGCTCCAGCACGGACCCAGAGCACAAGTCACCGCGGGAAAGTGGTGAAGATTCGGAAGATGAGAGTGAAATCCTGGAGGAGAGCCCCTGCGGGCGGTGGCTCAAACGTCGGGAAGAGGTACGATTCATCTTTTTATAATATACTCACATCTATGTGTTTACATCTTGTTTACATTTTGTTTATTTACTTGGTTGGGATTTTGTTCTGATTAATATGGTTTCAAACATATTTGGTCTATATATGTTCTTGCTGGAACCATAATTGTATTATCTCTATATGAGAAATGTGACGAAGGAAGTCTCTTGTGATACATTTTGTCTCGGCATTGATTCCAATTTGGTTAGACTATTGGGACGTTTGTATACAAATAAATCAGAGTAAACAGTGAGATATGGATGTAGTTTATGCAATTCTTTTCTATGTAATATAGCGATATATTTTGAGACTTCATATATTAATATGGTAGGTAACAAAAAGATATTATTAAATATTCCTTCAAAGGGAACTAAAAATCTAACAGCTATAAGCTATTTTTCTTATAATCTAGCTTAGTACTTGTTTCATTCGAGGCTGGAAAAAGTAAGCTAAAGCCAAATTGTGTATATATATATATATATATATATATATATATATATATATATTAAACACAATTATATATATTATACATGCATTATACATGTATACATATATCATAAAATTAGCTCATTATGTCATAAAATTACTAAATATATTGCTTGAAATGTATTATACAAAAATGTCTTCAAGCTTGGCAAACTAGTTTCTTAAAAATTTATGTAAACATTAAATGTTTTCGAATTTGTAAGTGTAAACTGATTTTCAACAATTTCTTGTCACTAAGCTTTCAGCATCTGTGGTACTTTCTATTTTCATTCTAGAAACAAATCAGCATAGTCCATCATTAACCAGGTGTATTTGCAAATCCGCTTTATTGTTCTATTTAAAGACTGAATATTCTTTTGTAAAACATAAATAACATTGAATAAAAAGCAATGGAGATGTTTTATCTGTTTGATGTTCAATAACCATTATTTTATGTTAGGTATATGTAGGTTCCAAGTCCACGTTAGCCGAAGGCTCTACCTTTGGAGCAGCCAGAGGCAGTGAAAACGAAGTTACTGAAATGGAGGTATGTCTATTTAGAGAAAAATAGGCTATCTCTTTTGGTTTATATATCTTTTTTATTAAAACTGTTCAATCAAAATGATGTAACATAAACAGAGGATTTATCACTCAATATATTTTATTTGAATATAGCCCATTGTCGTAAATATTGAATGAGCTATCTCCCCTCCTTAAATTCTTTGCAAGGTCACATTGATGTAATGACATCAGGCATGAAATTGTTTGAGTTATGCTTAAGTAACTTAAAATGAATGATTGCAGTAATATATTCTGTCATTTCATAACCATAGACTATTCAAATGTAATTTGTTAATAGCCTGTTTTTGTTTTTCTTTGTATAATTTTTGTCTGTTGTAAATAGATATTAATATATATTTGTAAATGAAACTTGTAAATATACTAACTTTATGTATTTGTGTAATTAGTTTATGTTTCATAAGTAATCATACATGAATGAAATGAAGTATTTTTGTAAATAATATTATTTTCTATTTAGGTGGAACAACGTGATGTACCAGGAATCGACTGTGCCTATTTGGCAATGGATACTGAGGAAGGAGTTGAAGTTGTTTGGAATGAGGTGCAATTTTCTGAAAGAAAGAACTTCAAAGCACAAGAAGAAAAGATACAACTTGTATTTGAAAATCTTACACAGTTGGAACATCCTAATATTGTTAAATTTCATAGGTATTGGACAGATACCCATAATGATAAACCTCGGGTATGTTATGAAAGAAAGGAGTTGAAGTTTAAATTGGCTTGAATATTAATTATGATGTTATTTATTATTTATTAGGTTATATTTATAACGGAGTATATGTCTTCTGGGTCTTTAAAACAGTTCCTAAAAAGAACAAAACGCAATGTGAAAAAATTACCCTTGCAAGCATGGAAGCGTTGGTGTACTCAAATACTTTCTGCATTGAGGTAACACATGATTCTTTATATATATTATTTCTTAAATAATAATGCTTATTTATTTATATATGTATATATTTCTGTTATATGCATTAATGTCTTTGAATTTTTCAGTTATTTGCATTCCTGTTCACCTCCCATTATTCATGGAAATCTTACTTGTGACACTATATTTATTCAACATAATGGGCTCGTAAAAATTGGTTCAGGTAAGTAATTAATTAACAAAACAGAAAGAAAATTCTATTCTATGAGACACATTTTGTATCCAAAAAGTACAGTCTTAATGTTTCTGTACTTTGTACAGTGAAACACGCTGCTAGCAAGTACAAGATATTATATAGTTGCTCATAGGTATTCAAGAGAGCACTTATCCCTAAATGAAACTATTTAACATATATTGGAATAAGAGTTTGCAAGGCACTTCCCCTTTTTTATTCACAGGACTATATGAGAGGCTTATAGTTTTGTTTCTCATATTTTTCATGGATGAAAACTATAAATCACAATATAGGATTATTATAAAATATATATATATATTTTTATATATATATATATATATAAAATCGACCAACCACTGATGTTGAAATAACAACTGTGAGCTAACTGATATTTATTTCATTCTTACATGGGGTACAAACACATAAAGTACGTATATTGCCATTACTGTGATTGCCTCCTCGGTATTCGTACTCGATAAGTCAATCGACAGTAATAAATAAGTTTTATACAGTTACTCAATTAATTTCTATTCAACGTAATTTATAATATCGCGTGTTATTTAATAATTAAACTAAACGACGTGTAAACAATATACACTGATATCCAAATGTTTTATCATAAGGCATAATTATGTGTGAAAAAGTGTGTGATATAGTTATATATTGTGAAGAAAGTTTTACTCCATGCTATAAATTTAACATTATCCTAATTGGATTTTATAGTAAGATTAACGATATAAAAAAGATTATTCTTTAAATAAGCTTTAATGATAAATATATGTCAAAAAAAGTGGGATATTATCTCTGCCGAATGTTCTTAATAACTTTCTATTTTAATTAGATTTATTCATTCAGAACCATTCCACATTATTGTTGTTACTGCGTTTATATTGTGATGTGATTTATCCTTTTCCTTTTCTCACTCGCTTATTTCCTTTTTTATCCTATCTATTAGTAAAATAAATCTGTTAGAAAGATTGTGTATAAAGTACTGTTTACATATTAGGAGTAACTTGAGTCCTCGTTTTTAATTGTAGCAAATAGGCTAATCTAGATAATGAAAAAAACACAGCAAAGTCTTCGAAGAGAGAGGAAGTACAATCGTACTTTCGCCCATCCAGAGGATAAAATCAACTGATAACGACGATTCTTCGGTTCTGGTGTAAATTGTGAAAAGATGGTGAATTTGAAGAAAATGCATTTGGCAGATAATCATCGACTATTGCCAGCTAAGTAATTTAGGCATATTGAGGTAAACATTCCTATTTATGTATATATATATGTATGTATGTGTATACATATATATACATATATCTACATTTTGATTATTGGTAGAGTGGTTCATATAAAATATTCAAAATTTATTTGATTTTAATATCCTTCATATCATTACATTGCACTTCTTCATCTCTTGGGTTATAATAACAAAGAAGGGCAAGGGGCCTAAGATGTCTCTTAGTCCTTCTATAATCATTATCTAGCGCACGCATTTTTCATTGTGCTCTAATTTTTGTTGTATCCTTATTCACGAACAAAACAAATTCTACGAATTCCGTTTTGGTCCTTGAAAATGTAAAGTAGAATTTCATCATGCTCAACGAAAGTGCCTCTTTTTGGAATATAAATTATCCAAGAACAAACCGTGTAAATTACTTTCTTGCTGATTGCTTGCATTTCATTTATCTTGCTTTTATGCGCTATGTTTGACCCCCCTCAGAGGCACTTTCGTGCATACGTATGTATATGCGAGAATTATTAACTGTATGAGGGCTCAAGTTACTTGTAGGATAATTTTTCAGTTACAACACAATTTTTCTAGCGGTTCATTAATCCACTTGTTATCATGGAGGTGGCGGGTATTCGAAAAGGTAAAAAGATAGTTACATTGTTGTGACTGTATTTGTTCTTTTTCCTTTTCTTTGTTTTTGTCTATATTTGGGCAAATAAATACAAAGAATTCCTGCTACCTCGCAAAGAAAGTTTTTTAACTCATTGCTTGTTAAATACTTTCATACAAATATACATATTTTGTGAGTGCCTATCTGAAATATATTTTCTTAGAAATAACCATATGTTCTTCTTATCATTACAGTGGCTCCCGATGCGATTCATCATCATGTTAAAACATGTAGAGCAAACATGAAGAATATGCACTTTGTAGCGCCTGAATATGGAAGTAAGTGTATCAGATTATTGATAATCTCTTTATATATTATGTTATTATACATGTTGTTGCAATATACCTTGCTGTGTTTTTTAGACTCTGTAACCCCTGCCATTGATATTTATTCATTCGGAATGTGTGCTCTGGAAATGGCTGCATTGGAAATTCAGGGTAACGGTGATACCGGTACGATCGTGACCGAGGATAACGTTCGAAAAACTATAGAATCGTTAGATGATGCCCAGCAGAAAGATTTCATTCGAAAATGTCTTCAAGTAGACCCACTTAGTAGACCAAGTGCAAGAGAGCTCCTTTTTCATCCTGTCTTATTTGAAGTGCATTCATTAAAATTACTTGCTGCTCATGCTTTGGTTAATTCAGCCAGTAAGTTTACTAATATCGCCATTATCTAATCTCTATATTGTCTTGTTCTTCAGAATTTATCATGTGTTCTAATTATAGGTATTATATTTTTTATAATAAAAAGTTATATAATGTAGCGGATAGTCCAGTAAAAATAGAACGTTAAGTGGAATTTCTTAGAAATCAATTAATTTTCACAACTTTTTCAGCTAATATTTCAGAAACGATAACAGACGAAGTTTTGCAAAGGCTCTACGGTCCTGATACGGTAGTCGCAGAAATTAAATATCAAGGTCGACCACCGCAGCAGATTCGGTTAAGTGATATTCCTGTTACAGAGAAGTTAGAAAAGTTCGTCGAAGATGTAAAGTAAGTATATTAAATAGTTTTACGACGAATGTATCGAAATGATTGCGTTTTTAACCTTATATCTATTCTTCAATCACATAAATTATTTGGGTCGACAGATATGGTATATATCCCTTGACAGCATTTATGGCGAAATTACCACCACCCGTTCGACCTCGGGCGATATCGCCCGAGGTTACAGAATCGGTGAAATCTGTTACACCCGAACCGGTGGACGTGGAGTCTCGAAGAGTAGTTAATATGATGTGTAACGTTAAGCCTAGAGAAGAAAGTTGTGAATTACTTGTGAGTGATATAGCACAATGTGATGAGTTACCTAACGTCAACTGTCAAGTCTAGTTTGTGTTTTTTTACGCTGGTGTATTTTATAGATGACAATATTATTACGAATGGATGACAAAATGAATAGGCAATTGACATGTCCTGTGAGTCAATTAGATACTTCAATGCTTCTTGCGCAGGAGCTTGTACATTTTGGATTTATTAATGAGGTATTTATTTTATTAAATATTTTAAAAAAGGAGCACAACACAATTTCAAAATTACTATTTGTTGTAGAATGATCGTGATAAAATAGCAAATTTAATCGAAGAGGCATTAAGGAGTTGCTTTAATAAGCAAATGATGACACCAGGGATGGTGTCATTAACAAATCTTCCCACCCAAACTACTTTATTGCTGCCCGGCTCAGAATTTCAATGCTTGCAACACTTTGATAATTCTATGTACAACGCGACAACATCTCATAGTGATAGTGTAATAACTAACCCGCTGCCAAAAACCTCAGGTTTCCCTGTATCGAGTAACAGGAACAGAAGTCACGATGAAATGGAACCACCGTTGAATGCCGAGAGCGGTAGTTAACTATCCAGGATATCTGGTAACTCAGTTCACTGTGCCACTTTGCACGCTCTATGTATAGACTGGCTATGTATTTTTATATTTAAGTAAACAGGAAGAAAGAATGGAATTAAATGATTAAAAGAAAACAGAAAAAAATAAAAAAAGGAAAAAAAAGAAAAAGGGTGCCGTGGCTAAAGCTTTAGGCTAAAAAATGTTAATGCGGTAGATTCGAACATATTTTATTTACAAACTGTTTCGTATGTTCGATATATAAAAAATATAATTTAATCGAATGATCGATATATTCTCTCCTTTTTTTTTTTCATTAAGTCATAAGATAGTTTCGAAAGAGGTAGGATATTTCCATATTGGATAAATTTTAATTAAACAAATGTCAAGGACGCGCTATACTACTTCAGTTGACTGTACAGCTCTAAAAGAAAAAAATGCGAATATGTAGCAAGTACAGAATTGTAACTAGTTATCACGAATAATCGTAATAACCTGTTACTAGGCTGAAATAATAAAGGGCATTTTACTAGCGAATGTTTAAATTCGTCGACAAACGGAACGAATTATTTGAAATAATAAATGAAGCAAAAAAAAAAAAGAACTTTCTATCGTAAAGTGACCAAGATGTATCATAGAAACTTATTTTGTATATACAAGTTAACACAGATTAACTGAAAAACAAGATGAGGAGAAAATGGTATAATTATTACATACGGAAGCATAACTCGATCGTACAGCAATGCGAAAATAATAAAAATAAAAACGATTATGAGCACCGCACTTGTTTCGCTTCGATATTCGATGTGTATTGTGGTTTGTCCCGACTCATACGAATCTTTTTTCTTTCGCTCATTAGAATGAATTAAAAAACAAAAATAGATATCTTGATTTGTTTGAAAAGACAAAAATAAGAAAAAGATAGTAGCGCGTATAACGTTCATAGAGTAGAACGTAATACATCGGTCGACTAAATACAATCTTTTTTGTAATTTATCTTTGTTCTTTTCTCTTTCTTTCTTTAATAAAAATCGGACACAGCCACGGCCCTTCTATACTTCGGTATTATTGATGTGATTAAACCAAGGTTATTAAATCTCGATAAAATTAGCTGAAATCCTTGTAAATAATTTATATTTTTAAGAAAATCTGTTGACACAGAAAACTAGTCATATAGGTATATTCGAGTGCTAACAAACTAACACCGACCTTATTATGTCTTTTTGCATTTATAACACATGCTTGGCCAAGAAATACTGCTCCGATTTCATATCTTGATAAATGAAGGAAAAGAAATGAAATTTTCAGTGACGCATTTCACTAAGCAAACGACTAACCATTACTAGCGGTAAAGAGGCAAAACGAAGAAACAATAAATAAAGTAACAACAACTATTACCAACAACATAAACTTTGATCTTAAGTATGTAAGTAGATTATTGAGGTAAAAATTGAATGTATAGCTTTATAATTCAAATTATAAAAAAAGGAGAAAAAAATAAAGTGCGACGACTGAATCGTGGATATTATCGAAAAGGGCTGTACGATGACAGTGATAAATAAATACTATAACTCGGAATTTCACTGCCTAAAATTTGTTTTTGTTCATCAAAACTTGTCGCTCCTGTCTTCCCGATTAATTTCAATCTTCTTACTTTCCTATACACGTTTATATTTAAATTTATATTGTCAAAAAGAAAAAAAAACGGAAATACAGAGGGAAAACATGGAGTTTGAAATAGTCTGTTCTATAAAAATTTATTCATGTAGCAGAAAGAGAAACACGAGATGTGAATATATCTTTAATGTAAAACACTATTTAATGGATGGAATGTAATGAAAAGATGTCTCTACAAAAAGTTTTTTTTTTTTATAAACGATGTTCTTTTCTAGAGACTACAGCTAACAAGAAGAAACAGAGTATAAATGTTCATAAAACAGAGAGAGATAGGGGGAGGGACAGATTGTATCTTCCAATCTTGTTTAGTTTAACATACTCTAAGCGTAATGTAATACTCTGATAATGCTAGGTCTTTGTTACATGTTTAAAACATTAAGTTAAACATCATTATACATGAGGATAATAATAACTTTTTTTAAAAAGTACCGTTGTTTATTTTTATTCACTTAAATTTGCATGTTTGATAAAATTGCATGTTACAGCTCAAATTTTTCCAATTCTATACTTATGTGAATTTCGTAATCAAACAATGAATCGAAAGAAGATTAACTTTTGCATTTAGTTACAATGGTGCTGTTCAGTCATAAAATCTGTCTCTTTCTCTATGTTGTTTTAGATATCCAATAAATATTTCTCATATATAATAAATTATTATATATTCAACAATTTTATACTATAATAATAAAAATGAAATCATTACCAAATTTACTCTGAACAGTACCGAACTACAACGTGTTCTTGAGCCAATTTTCTTAAAATAATTCCTATTTACCTCATCTAAGCACATTATTAAACACCATAAATGATATAGCTATCCATTAAACATTATGGTGAGGGTATGTTTCCTAACAATCTTGAGCGGTGAACCGATTTCTTTCAGATTATAGTCAGATTTATGTTCCATCCGCGGAATGGGTACGATTCAGCAGATAGTCAAGATCATGTGCAATACGATCCAGCATACCACTCGTTGTAGCCTCGCAGTTTGTGATCACGATTTCAGGTGCCTTTTCTTCCCCATCAGGTTGTTTACGTTCCGTAGTATTAGCAATGTCAGGAATGACATTCACATGGTCTCTGCTCTTTAGTTCCGTTGCTGACAATAATTCGACGTCGTTCTTCACGGCCAAGGTTACATCTGGCATTCCGCTTAAGCGCGATTCGACGTCAGCGCTACACAGAACTTTGGCTGAGCTCTCTGGCGAGGGATTGTGTGCGATGAAGATTTGTCCTTGAGACTCCCTATATTTACCAAATTCCCGGAAACTGCAGCACTCGCTGGCGCCGTATGACGCCTCGTTCATGCAGTGCAATGATCGTGGGGAAAACACGGTATCGAACACGACAGCTTCTTGATACTTTCGTGGACTAGTGCTATAATTTTCCAGGTTTATATCGTCCGAGTGATCGATGCGGATCTCTGGCAGGAATCTGCTGGTGACAGGGACGGAAGGTTTCGAATATGAAGATGAGGACTCGTTTATGAACTCGCGCATGTCTATACTACCCGCTGCAATCCCGCGAGCTTCTAAATACGGTTCACCGATACTTAAGGATGACGACGGTGGAGCAGTATCGTTCTCCACCTCGGCGCCGCTCTTTGAACACACTGGTTAGAAGATAAATTCAATTGATTTATTTTTATGCTTATTATTATCCGTTGATATAATTTTCATAAATTACCTTTGATTGGCTCGGATGTTATATCCTCTTCTGCATCATGTTTCCACTTTAGTTTTCTTAAGATTACATCGACGATAGTTAATTCGCCAATCACGATGTAGATTATCATTATAACAAAGCCCTACATTTATGCGTGTCATCGTTAGATATTAGATTTTGAATTCTTTCAAATTACTAGTCAGACTTACCAAAACAGAGGAAAGAGAAGCGAATATGTAATGAAAGATGATAGAGGTAGAATTTATATAAAAGATGGAGGAGGCTTCCATTGCGATGACACCGCAAATAACTATGGCAGCTCGATGAAGCATTCGTAGTCTGAAGAAAAAAAGGTTTCAATTTTTCATCATATAATTATCTTTTAATTCGTATGATTTTTAATCGCATGATTTAACCGATTATACCTGGCCTCTATTGCTTCCTTTTTCATAACATTCTCCTCGACAAGAGCATGAGCCTTGTGCAAGATTCCCAAATACAATAGCACAAATATAAGAAACATCATCGTTGCGCAAGTAACGAAAATATTATAAACGCCGCTGCCAAAAATTAACCACCATGACTCATGTCTCCAACCAGTGCTTTTGTGTGTAAGTTCAGTACTTAACACAGCCAAGATAGGGACACCTACATTAAACAAAAATGAAAAAAATGATAAAAATCTATATTAAATTTTAATTGATTTTTAATATAATTTTCCGAACCAGTAATCACTGCTATGACAGTAGGTTGAAAATGTTGACTGGATCGAACTTGAGTTAGACCAGCATAAATGATGAGAGCTTCCGATATAGGCGCTGACATACCAATCAAGAGGAAAGCTTCTAAAGTTATCGCTACGATCGCGTAGGAACTCTAAAATAAAATAATTATTATCGCAAAAAGTTTCTGAAGTCAACGTATACATACTTGAATTACCTCTGGTAAGTGATTATACACGGCATAAATGAAAACAGCCATTGCTCCAACCAAAGCACCGCAACACTGAAGCTTTAAAAAGTTCAACCAATTACGATTTTTCCACCAAAAGGTTCCGAGGATCAAAGAAGATATAAGACACTGTGCCAAACAGCTACCACATCCAAATATCACGATAAGTGTGGTTTGTTCCTTTTTTGCAAGTACTACCTGCATTGAATTATTTTTTTTTAGTTATTTCGCAATTCGAAATAAAATATTTATAACTTATCTGAACTTACCCTTACAGCACGTGCAGTTAAAAAAACTGCGAAAGTTCCGCTACTAGGGCAGAGACAATGCGTTGTGGCATCACCTGGTGAAATATTTGCGATACAGCTATTGAGATCCCAAGAACCTATAACATCCATAAGGCCGCAAGACACATTCCACGAACTCGACTGATTTTCTATGTGTTTTAGCTGTAGGTCTACCCAAATCTTATTATGTTTATCCAAATTGAAGGCAGGTATTGCCACTGTGACGACTCGAGAATTAATACGAAACTCCAGATCTGTGCCATCGCTGCGAATAAAAAGCATGTAAATTAAACAGTTGAAACGTTAAAACGTTAAATGTAGGATTGCTATTGCTTACTCCAGTTCCTTGACATACGTGGCTGGAAGAAAATGAGACATATTCTTATAAACAATTACTATTCCATGTAGAGTGTTATTAGACTTTACACCACGTTGTCGTTTTTTCCATAATCGTACTGTCGTTTTGTCATCGTACCAATTTGGGTACCTATTAAATGATAAGCGAAATAAGCGATATAATTACATAAAAAGAATGTTATTTAACAAATAGTAATTACATGGATTCATCTATAGGGATTTGAAGAGAATGGGTAATACTATCTCCATTATGTTGTTGTAATTCTTGAATGTCTACCACTAATGAAGAAAGAGATAAGTGCTTGTAAGGATGAGTAGCCACCTTAGACCAATGCATCAGGCTTCGTTGAGTTATTTGAAGAAGCAATAGAACTTTCTGTAAATTATAAGCATTATGTATTTCTCTTATTCGTCAATTTGATTAAATTTCTATACCTGTTGGCTTAAGATTGAATTTTTGTCATCTAGTATTCGACTAATTATCTGTATCAAAGCCTCTATAGAGACATGTAAATCGTATGGATTAACAATATGCTGATAACGCTCTATTTCCGCCAAGATACTCAGGATACGATCACCTTCGCCAGGATAGAGAGGCAAGCTACGCGATTGTAGAATTTTCCAGAAGATAAAGATCGTTCCAGAACCAGACGTGTTTTGATATCCTAGTGTTAAGCTTTTAAACTTGTTATAACGTGAAACTAATGGTTCGAACAAACAAAGAGAAAAATCTGGAGTTTGCCATTCAGGAGTGGTGGCATCTTTCATCGAGCACAGTCTGGAGACTTTCTTGCCTACAAAATGTTGAGGACATTCTAACAATGCTTCAGATCCAGGAGCAGTATCTGGCCAGATTAATCCCCAGGATTTCCCCCTCAAGCAAATTGGTATTAATGTTCGATTCACAACTTCCACGCGAACGGACATGGACTTGTCTGCCACGTTACATGTATATATCGCAGATTTCTGAAAATACAACACGATAAACATGCAAGAAACTTAAAGCTTTGATAACCAATTTTAAGGATGTATTCTTTATCTAGCGAATACCTGCGCGTTTGTAATTTTTAATATACTTCCAGTAGGAAATAAATCTTCCCAGACCTCGCTACCAAGTTCTAGCTTCAACAGAGCTTTGTTTTTCGTCCAGCCAAATCCTATTCCAATATTGGGCACGTTGGGTGTCATACACGTTAATTGTATATTGGTTCCCTGTAGAAAAGACCGGTTTAGAGAAATATCGATCAATTTAATCAAACATCATTTCAATTTAAGTTCATAGGAAGTTTCAAGATTACTACCTTGTCTATAGTAGCACTCATTGGCATCACTTTTACATCTGGTTCATCTTTCACATCTACGTAAATACTCTTACATTGCTGCACGCCCCAATCGACTATTTGACAAGTGTATTGACCCGCATCGAGTAAAGTCGCTTTTTCGATGGTTAATATGGATGTGTGTAAATCAGAACCATCGTTGGGGAGATGTCTATACCAGATTTCCCTAAACATTGAAAGCTACTCTGTCTATCAGCTTGTCTAGACGCTAGCTATAGTCTGATAAAAAATTAAACGATCGTTCAAGGTCACTGTAGAGTATATTCCCATCGCTTTATCTAGTTACCTTGTGATCTAGCTTCTGATTACCTACCGATTACATGCTTTTTGTTTACAGCAAGAAGTGACTTTAAAAGGTTTATGTCATGGATGATACAAACTTTGATAATAACTCTTATCTTTTCACCTGGTGGCTTTATTCATGTTCACCAGCATATTGTCCTTGTACCATGTGAAGTTTATGTTATAACTGCCTTGAGCAGCGCAAGACAGAACGAATTGATCTCCCGGGTGAATTTCGTGTTCATTTCCCTGATTCAGCCTGAGACTCTAAAAAAGACGTTGATCGAGATAATTGAAATCTATGACGAGTACTCTAACAAGATCAATGATACGTACCTGCAATTTAAGCGCAGGCTTTTGTTGAAAGGTAAAGTGAGTCGATTCGAGGGATATCTCGCTGAGCCGTCGACGTTGGACCAATTTGTTGAGGGACTCTCGAATTTTATCTCCATCCTCAGAGTTTCCAAAAAAATGGAAAGTGATTTCCGATGTGGGTCTACATAATGAACGCGCAAACCATGAGAAGCAATTTTGACTGTTTTTATCTTTTTACATAATTTTTTATTACATCTAAATATTTTTGCATTACTATCTAAGAATAATTTATAGTAAAATATATCCTTCATATTTTTGTATAATATGTCTTTCTTTTCATTTACGGTCTCGATAAAAATGTAACTGAACTCTTTATTGCTTAATGTACCTACTCACGTCACGCTCAGGATTTGTAAATCCTCCATGGACGAGATATTAGAATTCCTTAAATACTTTGCAAGCTGCGAAGAAATTGCAACGTATTAAAAAACGTCGGTCGATCATTTCGAGGGGATATCGAACAAGAAATTACAGGAATAAATAAAAACAAATGCTTTTTTTTCATAACATCTTTATGTATTATCGGAAAATAATCATTGAGTAAAGCAACAACATATTCTTCCAAAATCCAACGATTACAAAATAATTATATTCTTCGTCTTCTTGCTATGTTCGATAATTGTATAGCAATAAGGCTGTTCGTATATACACATGTACGAACATGTACATACATATACATATTGTATATCCGCACAATCCGCGCGATACTTAATTTCGTATCGCTTATCTTTTCGAGCGAATATCGCGATTAGAACCGTTCATTGTGATCGAGATGTACGCAGAAATACAATAATTTCCATCTTATCTCTAGAACGCTAATCTTGTCTGCTATCAATGCCGCTCTATTCGGCTTCAAGCGTTGGTTTTTGCAAATCATGACACACGAACGCAAAAAGTTGTTTAATAAGCTCCATCTGTGTTTCAAAGTGCCAGTGCTGAAGTTGCTATCTCTGTGTGTCATCTTCCTAACATCCAACGACTCTTCTTGAAGGTTCAGAGCTTCATACGATTGTGTGACTGCATCCAGTCGAAAAAGAATTCGTTCTTGATAGATTAACATGTTTTAAATTCACTCCGGAGTATCTAAGAAATATGGATCGTCGTTGGAGATGAGAACGCAGGATAAATCGCCGCTTCCAGGGCATAGATGATCCCGTATTCTCTCTCTGGATACTCTCAACACCTTGATCCCCGTCTCGCGGCAATATGCTTCCAATAGTATTATCTGTAGATGACTGGCGGAATCCATGTTAGCGTCGAACGGCACGAGGCAGATAGTACCCTGGCTGTTCTCGCATTCCTTGGATGCCAAGGCTCTTAACGTCGGTAGCATACCGCAAGTTATTGTACTTCTAGGACATCTTGGCATTTCTTTCTGTTCGATCCATGATAAACTGCCACTGAAAATCAATTGAGGTTAGTGCACCGAGATTCATATTATTTTGTCAACTTTTTAATCAACGAAAATTCGACGATACCGAGGGAAGCTTGCAACAACAGATCAAACGTTAATTTCTGAAATACGTTACTTTAATGTCTACTTCTGAATATGACCTTTGATCATTAAGAAATGTAACAATCGATAGTTTCGCAAACGTTTCTCGATAAAGTTGCAACACATTCCATCGTAACGTGGTCGAATTAATCGCCAGATCGACTAACATCACGCGTCATCTAAAAACGCAACGAGTGTGAAAGATGAAAATTTATACCTGTCAGTCATCGTAGATGATGCGTAGGATTGTTTCGTACAGCGTAAGTTTTGGCAACGCGTCATATCTCTTAGTATCTGTGTCTGATTGCTTTTCGGTTTGCCGTTTCCTGGCGCGACTCGTTTGCACACTTCACTGAACGTTGGAATTTTCTCGTTTTTGATAGCCAGTTTATAAGAGGTAGCGTACACTTTCGTTGATGATCCACTGATTCACTGATCAATTCTGGGAACCTGTACGTCGGCACGCACGAGTCGTCTTCTCCATACAATCTTATGCAACAGTGAAAGACTTTCACGATCGCTTCCGTGAAAATTATATGTACCGACACTATAACTCGACCGAGGTTTCAACACGAATAACCTCGATAGCCGATACGCGCCGCTTTTATAACGATCTTACCCCCACCGCCACCTGTGCTATATATCAACGGGTATTCCAGATAAGCCGTGTCGAGTCTGTGTACACAGAACGGAGCTTTTTATCCAAGAATTGGCTGCGACAGCTTTTACCAGGAAATGAAATAACTCGAAGGGCAAAGCTAACGAAAGCTCAGTGATAATTTTATTTATAAGTTAAAACCTTCTCGCTGTGAGAATACGCACGTGGAACATTCTCATATCAATTAGCATTAATTGGCAATAATTTATTTACGATTGGAAATTTAAGGAAAAATTTTCGTTGTCAATTTTTCTAAAATTGTTATATATTCCTGACAAATTTCGCAACGTACTTATAGATTTGAATTAGCAGAATGCATCGTGTTGCCATATACATAAAATTAAATCGCAAACACTGTAACGTGATAATGCTTGTAATTGGTGAAAGAGGAAATTGCGTACGATCCATACGAAAGTAGCTACGAAAGTAGTTATGATAAATAACGATTTTAGTTGCAAATGCAAAATTTAGGCGTTATATTAAAATAATGTTCGGGTCAGGGACTTCGTTTACGATCTCTGTTCACGAGAAATATCGTTTGCCTGTATCGCATACGATCGAGACAAGGATGGAACAGCAAGAAATTTTAACTCTGGAATGGAAATCCTAACTGGTGAATGAGATAGCGTTTTTTCCGTATGCATAGTGGCGTAACCTCGTCAAGTACGTATGTATTAACTTTCCAGTGACGACTCTTCATATTCGAAGCGACATAAAAGCAAACATTTTTGTTATCGTACACGGCCACTGGATATGATAGATACGATGAAAAATTTGTTTAACAAGTTTCGCATCCATTTTCCTCGACAGGACGTCTCAGGTCAATAGCACGTGCTTCTATCATCGTGCATGATGCAAACGGGTTGAATCTTGTATCTCTGGTTTCATCAGCCTTGCAATTCGACAGATTTGCTGATAATCCAGGTGGAAATCTACCTGAACATCACGGATTGCCGAGGGGAATTTCAAAAAGTCGATACCTCGCATCTGTTTTGGTCTGTCCCCTATTCTATCTGTCTCTCACTCCCGTACATTGCTCCTTTCGCTTTCTTTGTCCCATTCATATACCTATTATATCGTTCTCATTTATCTCCAATCGCTTTTCATACCGTTGTATTCCGTAAAAAAAACACGAGCGCGCTAAAATTAGATCTAACCTACGTAACAATTCTAACTTCAACAAACTGAAAAATTGATGCGTTATGTAATCAACCGGTTATAACCGTTTCATAATGATCAGTGACAGATGAATTTGCTATTTTCGAAATTGGAAAGGTTTTACCTATCTTGAATTTGGCAAACTTTTAAACCTTCTTATTAATTGTGCGATTTCTCTTTTTTATTCTTGCAGAATATGGATTGAAGAAACGATCGGTCAGCTACCTCGGGAACGCGCATGCGCAATCGATTCGCCGGGAATTCCGAACCTCTTGGGCAAGAAAACGCAGACTATAGCTTCGAAAAGAGGTCGATTCTTGGTATATACGCAGCTCGGATATATCTACTAAGAATTAACTGATCGCGGACTGCTCGTATAAACATTGAGAACGTTCACTGCGTGGATCATGCATAAGACCGATTAGGATTTTGTTAAAATGTCACGTGTTATGCAGGCATGGAAAAAGAAGACAAACGCTCGATTCGGTACGTTCCAAGATAGTACGTGTTTTGGTTCCGTTTACTTTTGAAATAATGAATGAAACGGTGACCTCGCGGGTTCATCAATCACCGAACTTCCCAAGCTTCCAATTTCTTCTTATTTTATATATTTCAATTCAGAGTTGAATATTAAATTCGGATCGAAGGAACTGGAAATTGTTACGACAGAGGAATTTAGGAATTTCGCTGATCGAAGTCTTTTGTTTTCAAAATATGGTGTAATCAACAGCACAATTTTCGCAACTAAAGTTCCAACCTGGCGTCGAGTTTTTTAATCGACGCGATCTTATCGCTTCCGAAGAAAAGAAAAAGAAAAAAAGAGAAAGAAAGAATGAGTATTTCTCGTTACGAGCGATAAGATCGTAATTTTCGTTATCGTTCTGGAAATGTAATGTTTTATCGTTTCCTAAGATTCTCTGAAGCATTTTTATATTAAGAGAGTAAACAAAAGAAGTACGAGATATTACTAAAACCTCGTCGACTAACGCTGCCCAATGAAAAAAAAAAAAAAATATATCGTTTGTCTGTTTAGACTGCTGGACGATCGAGAAAATAGCATTTTTTTACAAATCTTTTAAAAGAACGATTTCCAACAATTCGACGGGCATCGACATCGAGAAATTCTGTGATGGAATCGTTGAATGTGATTCAGAAGTAGCGCGTGCCATTTGTGAGCATACTGAGATTGTTAGGAGCCATATGACGCCAGAGATCCAACTATTTCTTTTAACTCCCAACTGTAATTTATACCACGCGCAATACGAAAGAATTTCAGAGTCGAAAGGGATAAAGAGAAGCGTTTTCTTGGAACCTTTTTGGTCGATTTATTGGCCAGGTGGACAGGCTCTCGCTAGATTTGTACTGGACGAAGGAAGAACGCTTTTTGAATGCTCGAAGGAAATTTTGGATCTTGGAGCTGGATGTGGTGCCACCGCTATTGCTGCGAAGCTCGTTGGCGCCGACAGGGTTGTCGCCAACGATATCGATAGAGGTTCGTATAATTTCACATACGATAGTCGCGCATACGATTCAATGCGTATGAATAATGTATATCGTTAATATTCTGTATTTTCCATCAAACGTCAATGAATTTGCTAGAGAGGAAATTGCGAATTGGAAAATAACGATTAAGAAGCGATAACGTAAATTTCTTAGTCGCCTGGAAGTGCATCGTTACTTAAAACAGGAGGAGCAGATAAAATCGCGTTGTTATGTATGTCTGTATGTATGTATGTATGTTATGTATGTCTCGTGAGAAGGAATGCGCGGCTCGTTTTACGTTTCATATATTTCCTCGTTCGCGATCAGCAGCATTAAAATACAATCGTAGTTAGACGGTACTGTTCACAGACATTCCGCTTGCCGGGGAATTATTATCATTATCATTGGGAAACGTTGAAGCAGTTTGAAATATTTACACGAGCAAAGGAAATGTACTATCTACATGGGGAAGAACCGAGTGCATTGCGCTCGACAGAACGAGTCGAGCGAGTCGATGGAAATACCCTGTAGAAAGAGAAAAAACGAAAAGACGCTGGTAGAATCGACGTCACTCGTGCACCTGCTCAGGTAGCCAGAAAGCAACGTAGCAACGTCTGGATTCGGATGCCAGATTTCTAAACGGTCGATGCAAAGTTGTACGCACTCGTGCTACTAATATAGCCGCTATAAATAATTTGTGCCAGGAATCACAGAATCTTTCTCACTGGGGAATAACTTGGAGAAGGAAACGGTTGAATGCTGCGGTGGATGCAAAGATGTAATAAGCAAAAGTACAAGTTGTAGAATACCGTATAAAAAATATGCAAAGTATAGATAGCAGTGGTATCAAGAGGATGTAGAACTCCCTGGATAAATGTAAATATCAAGGCCACGCACATGTACAACTTTAATCTTCATATGGGAAATATTTGAGTTTAAAATAGGGTCAATGATTTTTTTATTTCCAAGAAAGAACTAGGTAACCTTAACGGTGTATCGAATAAATTAAAGAAACTTCGAAGAATCGATGTCACGATAATATACCCACCTGTGATCACGTTTTCCCTTAATTGCATCAGCGTGTTTCTCACGTGTCGTGCTTGGAGAACACGAATCGATACTAAAGTAACTACCGGTATTTACGTTACGTTAGGCGATACTGGGAATTCAGTTTATTTCGTATGAATGAAATTTCCATCGGTAACTTTGGTATTCGATCGTTCAAAGTATTCGAACTTGAACAAGGTTTTATTGAATATTAGATGACTATATTTCTCTTTTCGTAGCGGTATCGGAAATCGGGAACCGTGTTCTGAATGGTTACGAAGAAAATCGAACATGTGGGTCACACCATACGGTATTCCCCATATCACGGAGGTACGAGCGCGAAGGGTCTGGTTCTGCTCGTACGTCAGTGAAAGGTCTTCCATTTCTGGGTTCTACGTCCGTTGCATTTTAATCGCCCCCTCGTGCGCCAATCGAATGTTGCTGACTCACCAATATCACGTTGTAATATGTAGCTATTAACGCGATATTTCCATTAACATCTCATGCGCCTGGAAAATTATGCTAACAAGCTGCGTGATATCGTACTTCTACAGACGGAAGCAGAAGAATTGTGAGAATGAAGAGAATGAAGAGAATGGAATGGCCTATAGAACATTCGAAACTTTCGACGTACTTGCATCGAGTCGTGAACTTGTAATCCGATTATTTAGGCGAATCTATAGTCGCGATATCCTCGGCTGCACTCGACCTTAGAGGTCGCACTTGACAACGGTAGATTAATGTTACATTAACCGATCAATCTTCTTTAACTACTCTACACACGTCTTGATATCGGCTCGCTGATTTCTTTTATCTTATCCGAGATTCGCAGACACGTAATGCTTTCGTATCTATTAGCGTACTTATAGTAATTGTTTGATCGACATGTTTCGTTCGAGCGATTTCATCGAAATGGATTATCGTTGTTAAATTGGCGACTGCTCCGTTTAGAAGCATCGATGGAACAGTCGTTGATTAAAGCGTTGCTACCTTTACGTAATATCGCTTGTTCGAAGATTAGCAAATGCCTGGAATTTTACGTAATCTCGATATGTTCTCGTTAAACGAGTATAAAAGATACCGCTCGCAAGATTCCCCATTATAAACATGTTATTATTTCCCATTTATGTAAACATTTTACCATCTCGATATTTGTTTGCGTGATTTCAGTTGCCTGCACAGCTATTTCCATGAACGCTATTCTGAACCGCGTGAATGTCAAAGTATCTCATCAAAACCTGTTATATGAATTGCCCGAAAGGACAATTGACGTTATTTTCATTGGAGATATGCTGTACGACGCAGAAATTGCTGCTACTTTAATTCCGTGGCTCGAAAAAGCGCGCAATAATGGGACGAGGATTTATCTGGGAGATCCAGGAAGACACGGTCTGACGGAGGATTTGAAGAAACGTCTGAAAGTTCTGAGACGTTACCGGTTGCCAGAGAATGTACAGAAAGAGAATTACGGTTACGACAGTTGCAACGTTTGGGAGTTCTGCGGATAACGAGTAAACGATTATATAATACGTCGAAACTCGGTGTACCTATCTTTGATTCGCTATTACTGTTGCAGTCACGTTTATATATATATAATCATGTTGCTACAGTTACACGTGAAACGTACATATATTCATTTGTCGTGCGGTGACAATAACGCCATGGGTCTGATTTATGCAAAGTGCTAAGAAGATTATGAAACGACGTGATAAACGTGATCATAGCGAGCATTGCCTGCTGCGTGACTTGCACATGTGCTTCATCTTATGTATACAGTAATATTTACGTTCGTTTTACGTACAGAGTAATGTTCAATCATCGCTATTTGTTGTACGATTATTTATCTGATACGGTATAGTACAACGTTTCGTTTACTTTGCCTGCTTCTTGAAGCAGAGGTAGAAGGAAAGTCGATCCTTATTTCCTGGGAAGGGAGAAGCGGAGGCGAAAGAGAGGAAACAGGGTTACGGCGCTGATTATTGAGAAAGCCGAAACTTACGAAGAAGAGAAAGATTTTTTCTGACGCACGAATGGATATCTCTGATTCGAGTAAACTCGATAAATTCCATAGTAACTCTATACTACTTTCCCAGACTCTATTCTTCACTCACCTGTTTGCCGACGTAGGACTCCACACTGCCGTGTTGCGTAATCAGCCCAGACCTCAGGGATGTCACGTTCGACAATTTGATTCTGCACTCGTATCTCGATCGATCTGCAAGCGTTTTCACGGATTATTTCATTTCCCAAGAGCGATCAGTCTCGGGAGAATGCGCACAGGTGGCGAAGAATGAAACGAACTTACTGTTGTAGATTTTCGTGCCATTTCTACAAACGCACGGTTGCTGCTCCTCTTTGTCGTAAGGGCATTGTATTATGCAATTCTCGATCCCGCATTCTGCGAACAAGCATTGGCCTCGTGTGTACTTGTGCTCACATATGACTCACGCGGCGCGGTCTCTGCGCGAAACATGAGTCATGGGAATGTTATCCGCGGGTGTGTACAGCGAATACGGTAGACCTCTTAAGCTTTATACCAATTAATTAACTGGTGGACTCATCAACCTACATCATGCATATATCGAATGCGTATTAAATGCAAATGAAGCTTTTTTTTTATCAAATTCTAAGCATTTCATTTCCATAGCGACAAATTTTTGTAATCGTACGAAGGTATTGTTACTACTTGAATTTAATTAATTAGTATGTAAACGATATAATAAATACAATGGTTCGCAAACAATTTTCGTAGTCATTGTACATGATACAGCTAATATCAGGGCAAATCCTACCACCATCCACGGTATCCAAAAGGTGAATCTCACAGTTACGGCCGACGTAGCCATTGGCGCATTCGCAGGTCATTGCTTCTGCTCCAATTTGCCTGGAACAGTACGTAACGACTTCGTCATTCGTCCCTTGACACTTATTCACAGAAGAGAAAGAAGTTTCCTTTATAACAAATCGGGAGAGTTCGCTTTTCCAATTTAGAAGGGTCAACGACGCCGGGTAGCTTATTGATTTATCTACGCGATTGATCTTCTTCTACTTGGTTTGATACTTCAAGAGAAAAGCGCAATTTCACGTCACCAGTGAAATGGCTATGCCTCGTTAAGATTGCTTTGATCAATGTCGCGTAAACATTTTCGCTATTAGCTAAAATTTCTTTAATCCACGCTTCCTTTAAATTTCGTATTTTAGATTGTACTATCCGATTTCTTTGCAGTGATAAATTTGCATAAATAATCTTCGTACTTGCAAGTGCCTTCATTTTGGCAAGTAGGATTCTTCCTGTCGTCGAAGCAGAGGGGTCCTTGGTTACAATTCTTCCCGCTGAAACCCTCGAAACAATCGCACCAGAAGCTCCTGCGAGCAAACAACGGCGGACCGTGTTATTTGTGCACACGTAACAGATCGAGGACACAGGCATCCAGGAATAGAGGGTAAATTAATGGGGACACGAGTTTCATTAATGATTCATGAGCTGATATGATATCGTCCGGAATCACCTTACTGCTCTGTTTGTCTTTCGCGTTGGAACTTTCCGAAATTATTTCGTCCGATAAACGAAAATCCAGGTCCTCTTCCATTATTTGATATGCTTGTTTCTATTTTTAAATTTACTAAAAAAAGAAATCTGTTCCAAAATATGGAAACGGAAAGATAAGATATTCGTGATCATTTGTTTACTTTTCTTTTTTAACACGAGAAGTTCTACGAAATGAACTTTTCAAAAATTGTCCATAAACTGATCGCTTGCGAAGCTCTAAACACGTGTTTCACGAAGAGATAATTCGCCCAGTACAAAAGCATTCGTTCGAACTTATATGTCGGGTTTACATTAGAATTAGGGTTAGGGGCGTGAAACGAATCTTCGTTTGGGTTACACGTTGTCGTTATGCAATAGAGAAGACATTGACTAGTGCAAATACGATTATTATAGAACCGGACGAGTAACCGTGGTAGTTAGGTACTCGAGAAACTAATGACAATGATCCTAGGTTCAATAACGAATCCGCGGTCGACGCGATGAACGTACTCACAAAAACTAAGTCGGATGCGTAATATTCACTGGTCGTAAGGGGTTACTCTTTTTCATCGATGAGATCGCGAGCGGGAATGATTTTCCCGTCCCGATGGTCCCACAGAGGAAAACTATATTGGGGTATGTCTAAGGATACGAGATCATCGGATTCATCGAGAAAAGCCTTCGTTCAGAAAGTAAGGGAAATTGGCGTTGCTGCTAGTTGGTCAATCTCCATATCGGTGGTTAGAAAAAGATGCTAGCCGCCCTCGAGGGAATGTTGCTAGTGGGAGACGCCGCTCGTTGAAAAATAGGTCTTCCCTATTTTCCCGTAGTTGGGACATATTTTCCCGTAGTTGGGACAAAGACTGTTTGTCTGTTTGAAGGACTTTAGTTGACTAAATCTTAAAATTTATAACAGGCCCTCGGGCTAGCTGAACATGTATTGCGGAGACGCATCGACATCTGGCAATCATCTTACTCGAAGAATAGGGTCTGCGTGTGGCGAGCCACGGGACAGAGACCGTTGGAACGTTTACTGTCGAGTGTTACAACTATTTCCTTTTCAAGGAGAGCTATAGAATTATTACATGCCTTTGTTAGACAAGGCGTTCATCCCGTGACCGCGGCTACGTTCGGCGACTGGCTGTCGCCCATTATCGCAACTCTCGAACAATTACAATCGGATTGAATAACTACAATTGTTTAATTACAGCTATAGTAGACTCTAGGTTGCAATGTTGCGGGATTAACCAAAATTCCAAAAACTCCGGTGTTTTTTCATCTCCGACATATATGAGAACAAACAGGACGATCCTAGTAGATGATAAAACAACTCAATTGGGTTCCAGAGGGGCGCCTGTTTGCGGCGAGATAATACGCGTTTTAATAGCTGTCGAGAAGGCCATTGGGATAGATACAATGGATCTACTCGCTGTTCCAAAGTAAACTGCCCGGTGTTTGTATCTGAAGATGTTCATTTGTCATAAGTATACTATTTGCTCTTATATAATATCTTATAGGAGACATAAATAGCAAATACCGAGGAATTAAAAATACATTGTGTATTTTCGACCAATCGCGGGGAGACGCAATCGCGAGGAGAGACGTCAACAGGAGTCGTAAATTCCCGTTACGATTATAACAATCGACACCACGAGTTGATCGATCCCCTGATTTCTGTTGAGATAATAGGGGTGATTGAGTTTGTATAAGACTGTGATTCACAGAATTATAAGATTTTATCTCCAACACTTAAGTTACACTGTTGAGTAGATATAATTCCTGACCTTGAGTAGATGACAACTTGTCGCCCGAAGGTAAGATAGATATGCACGCTAGAGCAAGGCTCTTTTAATCGAACTCCGTTAGTGGACATATGTTATGGACATGTTAGTGGACATAGCACTAGAGGATACTTAATAGAGGAAGTGATTGTTCGTACTTAGACTTAGACGTTAGAAGTGTACTTAGTTGATTGATTTATTTCTTTAGTGTGCTGAGTGTATGGTCAGGAAGTGAGTACGCAGTATGCATTGCTTCTGATCGGATAAACGGAGGTTGGTGGATTAGGAAGGATCTTACCTGCCCGCGATAGAAAGGTTTTGCCTGAAACTTTCGTGATTAAGAAAAAGATATTTGTTCGGTCTGAAAGACCTTAGCGAGCAAATTACTGGCATTTATGACGGGTCCTCAAGATACCTACAGTCAAAGAGGAAATAGCAAGATATAGCGACAGATATAGCAAAAGAGTCAACAAACACCGAAACCCCCTAATCACTGGACTACTCGATACGACGGACCAGATTCGCAGGCTGAAGAGGCACTACCCGCTAGACCTAAACGTTAGATTCATTTAATTATCCAAATTAAGCATATGCACTTACTTATAATACTTATAAATTATACTTATCTATAATAAGTATTAACTTATTGTAAATAAACAGCCAGGTCACTGCGCCACGCCAGAAAAATTATTGAAAATTCTCAACGCGAGAATTGATTGTAATTTCAACAAATAAATAAAAAAAAAAATTTATGACGGGTATTTAAGGCTATTGAAGGTACGTCGTAAGGATGAGCGGACATCCGGTGTTCGGCTGACCCGCGGTATATGGCCTGGTCTAGGTAGACGGTCGTAACACATTGTATAAGGATTAGTGGACAGTTTTACCGTAAAAATTCATAAAAAATATTAAGAAGCTTATCATAATAAAATATCATTTAAAAAAAGTACTACAATACTACACATTATTTACATAGTGTATTATTTATTTATATAGTGAAACGAATTATGCGTCATGCGATATATAATAAAGTAGTAATTTTTAGATCTTCCCAATACATCAAGGAGATAAGACCAAAAAGAGAAAAGAGAAGTTGAAAAACTCACGTATAGTCTCCAGACACGAGGCAATTCCCGGAGTAGGAGCAATGCTGGACGGAGCAGCAATCCGAATTTGGCACGTCTTCGGTCATCTGATACGTGACATTGAACCCGTACACGTCCAGCAAATTGTTTAAAACTCGTACGTGATTGCCCTCGAGTCGATCGAGCTCGAACTCGATGACGAGAAACGGCCTGAACGTTCTAAATAATTTGTATTCGAACACGTTGCCCTCGGTGATCTCTTTTATCAGACTGGCGCCAAAATTCATACTCTCCGATTCGTAGTACGCGTACTCGGTGAAACTGAGTCCCTTATACACGTACACTTGCGTCAAATAGACGACGATGGAGCTGTTAGTCGCTGGAATATCGGAAACATCGATCACCCAGCGACACTTAATGGGCACCGGAAAAGACCGGGGAAAATTTGGGGTCTGGATCACTCCTCTTGGTGCCGTCAACCGGTTACCGCACGACACCTCGGTCGTCGTCGAACCTCCGTCGATTAAGGTCAAGTGAAATAGAAAGGAGAAGCTAATCACCATGGACTTCATCTTCGAGGAATACATCTAAGGAGAAAGTATTTTGAATTTAATCAATGAATTTCTGTTTATAACGAATCTGACAAAATTTCGACAGCGTTCTTTCATTGAAG